TACCCGATTGATCTAAGTAATGGAGAAATGTTTCTTTAAGGTAAAAACTGAACTTTTAAAAGTTATTTCGACGAGCTTCGGGCTTTGAAGTATTAGAACTTAACAGCTTTGTTGTGTGATCAATATGAAATCCCTTACGATACCAAACGAAACAGTGCGGGAAACGCCATATTACGCCATAGAACTAAACCACAAGGGAGAATTCCACAAATATCGATATTATATGAATATCGCTTACAGAGAACTATGACGCAGACGTGGTAATACTATTCGTTCTGTGCCTTGCTAAAGGGATATTAAATCGCGTTAAGTACAATGCCTCCCACTCCTACCATCGCTCAGGGACTTTCAACGCAGTGTTACATGTACAGTGAAATTATTAAACAACTCGTCTTCATGTACTTACAATGCAGCCCTAATCGGGTATAATCCACCAACCCAGATAGCGTATCTACACAACATATCTTCATTAAAGTTGTTTCTTGGATCTTGTCCATCGTTCTCAGACCTCCAGGTCTGAGTGTACTAAACCAGGGGGCCCAATAGAGAGGATTTCTGTCATCCCCTAATTTTACCTGATGAAGGAAGGAGATAATGCTTCCGAAAAGCCGTGATTATCTTCTAATCTAAGCGTGATAACAATAAAAACAATTTTACATATAGAAACGCAAAGACTTCGTGGAATTGCTTGCTAAACACGTCTAAATTATGTTTTAAGAAGCAACTTCGCTAAAAGATAAACTTTACGTCCAAAAACGCTGTTCACGTGCTGCCAGGAAGACACTGAAAACAAGACAGTGCTTCAAATCCGATTAAACCAGCCGCCAGATTAGCATCGATCAGTGGTTAAATCGCCAGATAAAGCTCAAATTGATTACTCAGTCCACTTACACGTAACGAACACAGAACACTCCTTGCCCGCGGTCACTGCAAGAACAGCCCCAAGCGCTTCTGAAGTCGTTGTCGTCTTCAGATGTCAATTATTTCTGCATACGAAATTTCACCAGACACAATATATCAGGAATTTAAAAGCAGTCGTCTCAATTACTGGACAGGTAAGCGTGTCCCCAAACGTTAAACTCAACCCCACGAAAATTCACTTGGAGATTCATGAGGTGATATTGTTGCGTCATATTGTGATGATTATAATTGTTTATTTTAACCGTCTAATCACAATAAAATATTTTATTAATTATTAAAATATTATTACTATAATTAACATTTAATATTTAAAATATATTAAAAT